TCACTTTCCCCCTTCTGGTCCCCTCCCCCCACACCCCCCTAGAGGAAGGCTCACCTCAGTGTAGGCAAGGGCTGAGATTGCCCAGGTCCACGGTTGGGTCGTTTGGGTGGGAGCACGCGTGAGAGCAGGATCCATGAGGGACTGAGTGCCGGGTGAGCTGCACCACAGACAGAGCCTGTGTGCCACTGGCCGATGGGGTCTTCCCCCTGGTCTCCCTGAGCCTCACAGCCTGGTGTCCATAAGCCCATGGGGAAAGGGTCTTCCACTGTATCTGCTGGCTTACGTGCTGGCAGGGGTGGCTGTTTCTCAAGTTCATGGAGGAAGGGACAAATAGATCCCCCTATGGGTAAGAGGCCCAGGGGTGTCCTTTTTCTGGAGTGCAAGCCTGAGCCCAAGCAGCTTCTGGGTGGCAGCTGGTTTGGCAGATTCTCACCTGGGTATACCTGGAACCCCATGCCAGGCCCTGTGTGTCTGCCCTGGGGCTGACTCAAAATCAGGTGAGTTTAGACAGGAGCTGTGCTGAGGTTGCAAGTCAGGGCAGGGTCACGGCCTGGCCTACAGTGACCGTAGCGAGAATGGGGTGGAGAGAGGACACAGGGGTAAGAAACTTGCATCCTGTCAACTCCACTGCCTTTCCCAAAGCTACATGGGACCCTCCAAGGACAGCAGAGAACACCCACTGAGCACTGCAAGGTGGGGACACCAACCACCACCCCCACTTCCACAAGAGGAAGATGGTCCATTTTATTGTAGCATTGTCACACTGTCCTCCCATTGTTCATTGATTTGCTGGAGCGGGCACCAGTAACGTCTCCATTGTGAGACTTGTTACTGTTTTTGGCATATATGATACACCACGGGGAGCTTGCCAGGCTCTGCCATGCAGGTGAGATACTCTCGCTAGCTTGCTGGGCTCTCCAAGAGGGACGGAGGAATCGAACCCGGGTTGGCCACATGCAAGGCAAACGCCCTACCCACTGTGCTATCGCTCCAACCATTTTCACTGTCACTGTCCTCCCATTGTTCATGAATTTGCTCGAGTGGGCCCAGTAATGTCTCCATTGTGACAATTGTTACTGTGTTTGGCATATGGAATATGTCACGGGTGGCTTGCCAGGCTTTGGTGTGCGGGCAAGATACTCTCCGTAGCTTGCTGGGCTCTCCGAGAGGGGTGGAGAAATCGAACTCGGGTTGGCCCTGTTGGCTGTGTGCAAGGCAAATGCCCTACCCGCTGTGCTGTCGCTCCAACCATTTTATTATACAGGAAACACACACACACACACACACACACACACACACACACACACACCACTCTGAGAGAGTCAGAGGCATGCGAAACCCCTGCCTCTGCTCCGCCTATACTCCTTCCCATAATCTCTCCATGCTCTCTGGATTTATTTATTTATTTTAAATTTAATTTTATTTTTATAAAGGTGTTCACGATATTTGCTTACATTTAATATTCGAACATCAATCCCACCACCATTACACTTTCCCACTACCATATTTTGGATGTTTCCATCCCGAGTCCCGATCCCTGCCCCAGAGCAGACTTGAAATTATTTATTTTTTATTGTTTGTTATAAATAAACCGCTGCAAATGCTCCAAAAAACTTCCCTTAGAGGAGAGTGTGAAGATTGTTGTATTTCACCCAGGGTTATTTCAACCCTTCTATAAGAGATTGCTAATATGTTGTTAAGGGTTGAGCCTTCTGTGCTTATATATCTATATCTGTATCTGTGTAGATAAAAAATATATGCACATGTATATCTGTAAAATATGTTTCCCCCTAAGATGGTTGCCTTCTGCTTTAAACCCCATCAAATGTGGTGTGCTACTCTTGGAATCTGAGTGGTGTGAGGTATGAGATATAGTGCAGTCCAGGGATAGGTTTACTTGTGAGTGAGGCTCAGCCCAAGCATGTAGAGACCAGCTGCTCTCTGGATTTAAAGAAATGCCAAGCCCTCATTTGGCATCCAGAGATGGCTGTGTGACCTCTGCGAAGTCCTTTTCCCTCTCTGATCCCACCTCCTCTGTGGCTTCTCTGGGGCTGGCCAGGTGCTTCCCCTCACTGTTCCCTGACTTGCCCTGGAGTTTCCTCCCAGAGAGGGAGGCGACTCCCCCCATCCATACCCCTACTGCTGTTTTTCTCCACTTCCGGGGGCTTCTCCTAGCGGCTGAGGGGCACCTCTGCTTGGCTGTTCGCTGAGCCATTGAAAATTTCATGGATAATTCAGGAACACAAATCAAACAGGAGGCTGGAAGCTCTGGATTTATGAAGAAAAATGAGTCAAACCTGGCGATTTATGAGCAGCTCAGAATAGCAGGATGGTGGGGTGGGGGGCGGGGTGGGAGACTGCAGGATGGCTCTGAGAGTTTGGGGCAGAGTTGGGGAGACAGGGCTTAGGTGGGGGGGGTCTCTTGGTGCCCAGACCACTGGCTTTGTGGGAGGTGTCTGAACCTGGGACAAATGGGGCAGATGGAGTCCAGAGAGGGGCAACGTCTTCTTGAGCATAAGAGGAAGGAGTCACCCCTGGCCCAATCCTCATTCAATCTCCCAGTGGTCTGGGGGTCTTGGCAGGGTACCATGGAGAAGGGAGGTAGAGGTGGGGTAGGTATGCTCTTCCCCGCCTCTGGTGCACAGCCTTGGCAGGAACTGGGCTCAGAATTGGGGAGGGTGTGTGTGTGTGTGTGTGTGTGTGTGTGTGTGTGTGTGTGTGTGTGTGTATGTGTGTGAGAGAGAGAGAGACAGAGACAGAGACAGAGACAGAGAGACTGAGACAGACAGAGAGAGAAAAAGTGAGAGACAGAGACAGACAGAGACAGAGAGAGAAGGAGAGAGAAAGAGAGAGAAAAACACACACAGAGTGTTAGTTACCCTGGTACTTTGTTTCAGAACAAGCTGCTTCCAACGAGGACCCTCATACAGGAGTTTTGAACAACTTCTTGAGCAAAGATGCTCTTGACCACGGTGCACCAGAGGCGGGGAAGGCTGAGTGCTCAGGTGACTGTTGAGCGCATTGCACTAATGTACACAAAGAAAGCCCAAAGTTACATTCACAAAGAGTGAGGGGAGAAGGAGATGGGAAGAGAAAGGGAGGAGGGAGAGTCAGTGGTAGGAGTTAGGGGAGAGAGAGAGAGAGAGAGAGAAACACACACCCACACACCCACACCCACACCCACACACACCAGGGTTCTAGTCGTCTGAGAAGCTTTCTCCGGAGGCTTTTCGCCCCTCATAGGAGGCCTCTTTCTCAGAGTGGTGTAACATATACCCAGACTCAGGAAACAAGAGGATCATTTCCAAGGCCATCCTCAAGGTCAGAAATATGTGGGTCTCAGTAGAGATGGGGCCCCCGACTGACTTTGTTCCCAGGGCTGACTGGAAGCGACTGTTCCTGCCTCCCCCCGCACCCCCCCCCCCCGGGTGGCTGTACCTTGTGTTAGGTTTCCTCTGCTCGGGAAGGTTGTGGGGTGACCTGGGAGGAGCCCCAAGCTCACTGGGACAAGTCACATCACTATATTAGGGTCAGTTTCTTCTCCTGGAAGTTGGAAGCAGCATTCTCATCCATCAGCCCGCCCCATCGCCTTCCGCACCAGGCTCCTTCCCACTGGTACGGAGGGATCCAAATGCTGAGTGAATGCATATGAGGTCTTAACTCTCCACAGGGATCTACCCCAGGAGAATCTCCTTCCTGCGTTTTGGCTTGAAAGGCCGTGGTTAGATCCATCAGCTGCAGGTCCCCTGTGCTTTGCACAGCCCTGAGCCAATGGCTGTCTTGGGGAGGGCCTCCAGGCTGGGGGGTCTGGAGGATGTGGAACATTGTTCAGGCATCTGTTTAACAAGACGATTTCTCGGTGTGTACCTTGAGTGTTTATTTTAAAAAGGTGTCTTCAACGCTTCTCTGAATTCCAACTTCCATCCCTGTCTGCCTCCTGTGGGGCAGCCCCTGAAATCTCCATTCAGTTCTTTGCCTCTTAGCCAGGCTACTTGGAGACTCTCTTAGCACGTCTGCAGAAGGGTTGGTCAGCGATCGGAGCAGAGTTCACACATGAATTCTGGGGCTTCATCTCTGCAGCTCTCTCCTTTCTGGGATTTCTGCCATTACTTTCCATATGCTCAGATCACTCACACTTTCTGAATCTTCATCTCACGCAGAGGCAACCCTTTTCCATGCCCCTGTTTCCTTCCTTGTAGTTCTGGGAATCAAACCCAGGGCCTCCCACTTGCTCTGCATGTGCTCGGCTACTGAGCCACATGTCCAGGGCCCAAGGTTTCTGGTGCCTTAAGAATTTGACTCTCCTGGGGGACACTGTGGGCTGTTCCCAAGAGAAAGGTTTTAAGCACCTGACACTCACTGTCTTTGCTTCTGTGTCCATTACCCTCCCATTTTTACCTGCTTTCTATTTTACCAGTGCCTGTAGGTTGTTTGAAACCATCTTACCCAAGTTTAGAGTTTATTTCTGCGGGCAGACTGGTTCTTGAGCTAATGACCCTCATTGGAAGTCCTGTTCCACTTGTGCGCCTGTGGTTCTGAAGCAGGCAGAGAGTTCGGGGACCCTTGAGACCCCCTACAAGTTCTTGGGACATAATAAAACCATGGATTGGGACTGGAGCAATAGTACAGTAGATAGGACGCTTTCCTTGCATGTGGTCCACCTATGTTTGATCCCAGGCATCCTATCTGGTTCCCTGAGCCTTAGAATCAGGAGTGATCCCTGAACATTGCTGCGTGTAGCCCCAATGAAATGTAAGTAAAGTAAAGAAAGTAAAGGCCCTCCCGTTGCTCATCGATTTGCTTGAGCGGGCCCAGTAACGTCTCCATTGGAGATTTTGTTGTTACTGTGTTTGGCATATTGAATACGTCACGGGGAGCTTGCCAGGCTCTGCTGTGCGGGCGAGATACTCTCGGTAGCTTGCCGGGCTCTCCGAGAGGGGCGGAGGAATCGAACTCGGGTCGGCCATGTTGGCTGCGTGCAAGGCAAATGCCCTACCGCTGTGCTATCGCAGCACATATACTAAAATTGGAACGATACAGAGAAGATTAACATGGCCCCTGCGCAAGGAATGAAATGTAACAAATGAAATAAATAACAACCAACCACAAAACCTCATGGATTTCAGAATTTAAAGAATTTGCAGTCACTCACTGTAAAGCTGCTAAAAGTGTTATTGCTGGACCCACCTTGGGGACATAGAAAATAAGGTCTGATAGGACTTATTTTTTCAAATGAATCACCATGAGATACAGTTATAGACTTACAAATTTTCGTGATTACATTTCATACAATGATCGAGTACCCATCCCTCCACCAGTGCCCATTCTCCACCACCAATGTTCCCAGTATCCCTCCTGTCACCCCTACCCCATCCCCACCCTGCGTCTGTGGCAGGCACATTCCCTCTTACTCTCTCTCTCCTTTTGGGTGTTATGGTTTTCAATATAGGCACTAAGTGGCCGGCATGTTTGGCCCATAGTCTACTTTCAGCACACATCTCCCATCCTGAGCGAGCCCTGCAACCATCATCGACTCAGTGGTTCCCTTCTCTATGTTAGGACTTTTAGGGACAAGCACAGGCCCTGAGAAGCCTAGAGCCCCCTCTCTGAGAGAAGCTCAAACAGGACCCAAGTGCTATATAAGGACATGGGGGAAAACCATAAAACATTTCAAACTCTTCTCCTTGACAACACGTTGGCAATGGGCTTATTTAGGTAGAAAGCCCTACAAGGGGCAGTTGGGAAAAATGTATATCAACTACCTTGGGCAAAGGAAGAGCATGCCAGTGTGGCAAGCCCATGCTGCCCGCGTCCATGCTGTTGGGCACATGTTGCCTGCACACATGCCACCAGCATGTTCCCTCTTGAGACATGAACCCTGGGCTCTCTCTGCTCTGGAGAAGCCTGTATTCCCTTTTGCGTGTGCATCTTTTATTTTTCCTTTTTGGGCTACATCCAGTTATGCTCAGGGGTTATTCCTGGCAGTGCTCAGGGAACCATATGGGATGCCAGGGATGGAACCTGAGTCGGTGTATGCAAGGCAAACACCCTACCTGCTGTACTATTGCTCGGTTCCCTTGAACACACATTTTTTTTCTTTTTGGGTCACACCTGGCAATGCATAGGGGTTACTCCTGGCTCATGCACTCAGGAATTACCCCTGGCAGTGCCTGGGGGACCATATGGGATGCTGGGAATCGAACCCGGGTTGGCCGCGTGCAAGGCAAATGCCCTGCCCGCTGTGCTATCACTCTAGCCCCTGAACACACATTTTAACCTACCTCTCCTTAGCCCCCTAATAAACTTGTTGTTTAGACTTCGCTATTCAACTACTCCTGAAATTCTTCTCTGTGAGGGCAGAATCACAATCACAATCACAAATCATCCTGTTAGTCGTCGATTGCCTCGAGCAGGCCCCAGTAACGTCTCCTTCATCCTAGCCCTGAGATTATATTCAAGGCTCTTTAGGAGAATGAGACCCATCATTGTTACTGGTATTTGGCATATTGGGTACGCCACGGGGAGTTTGCCAGACTCTGCCGTGTGGGCAGGCTACATTTGGTAGCCTGCCAGTTTGTCCAAAGTAGGAATGAGATAATAAGATGTCATAATAAAATGTTGCGCGGCCGCAGATCTGGTTTTTATAGTCTCTGAGTCTTGGCCACTGTTGGGATTACACAGCGCCAGGGGGCCAGTTGGTGGGTGTGACCCCTGCCTACTGGAATTTGGAGGATCTGGGTGGAGGATGCTCGGCCCAAATCCGGGTAGGCTTGGAGATCTTGGCCCCGGAACCCGCGTGACTTTGTCCCTCTGCCAGTACCTTCATGTGTGCGGAGAGTGGTCTCAGCATGGTGGTGGCTGGTCCTGGAGGTCTTTGGCTGCCGGAGCCCTGAGGGCAGGATAAACACCCAAAAAGCCTGGGTAAGGCCTAGGACTGGCTTCCTTTCCTGCAAAGAGCAGTTCCTCGCTGCAGTCTGAGCCCACTGCTCCTTGAGAAAGCTGGTGTTGGGGATTATCTTTCATGCTGGGCAGAACAAGTGGACTTCAGGTGCAACTGGACGGCTGCCTCATGGGGCTGGTGGAATGGGAGGTTTGTACGGTGCAGGGCCTCATAGCAGGCTTTTCTCAGTGCTAAACCTCCCAGACGCTTCCCTGGGTGACAGGTAGATAGAGCAAAAGCAGTAGATTTCCTTCTGGGGGCTGCCACCTCTCTCCTCCCCACTTCACATGAGTCACGGTGGACCTCCATCAACCAACAGTCCCTCCTGGGGCTCTAGTAAAGCACCTTTGGGCCCGGAAGAGTCCCCAGGACGGGGTGTTTGTGCCAAGACTGTGCTGTGTGAGCTGGTCTGGGGAGATAATATGCTGTGAGCGTGGCCTCCCAGGCACACTCTAGCCAGCAGCCCTGTCCTCAGGGAGATTGGCTCCAGATTGTGAGGGGGCAGCTGGACACCTTCTCAGAGGCACCGTGCACAGAGCAGGGTGGGCTGGCCTTATCTTCTCTCCAGCATGCTTTGGGCAAAGCGTCCACTGGGAAGAAAAGATTGTGAGGGAGGGGGCGGAATTCCAGCTCACCAAGGGCGTCCAAGTGTATGTCTCTTTAGATTTCCCCCAGGGACTCTGTCAGATACCACCACCTGGGCTGGCTCCCCCAGACACCTTCTGGAGCTGCAGGTGTGTGCCAAGGCCTGGAGGGCGTTGACTCACACCCTGAATTCTTTCTCCTTTCTTCAGTGGTACCAGAAAGGCCGCAGGGTAAAGGTGGAAGCACGCGCTCTGTAAAATGGTCCTGCACTTTCAACATTTCCAATTTCCTCTTCCAGGTTGTCTTTTCTCCCCCGTTTTCTTCTTTAAACAAAAACCTCTTGTATATGTGGGAGATGAAGCCAGAAGAGAAATGTCCCTTTGATGGCTGAGAATTGTTGTTTTACAGGATTTATTTAAGCCGCTCTTAACAAAATGCGAACATCTGGCTCGGGGTGCCTGTGTGCCAACTTGCAGCTTGCTGGAGGATGGCAGGCACCCAGGCTGGAGGGCAGGGAGGCCCCGTGCCACTGGCGGCCCACCCTCATGGCTGTGGTCTGCGCTGAGGCTTCTGACAAGATGGGGGAGAGCAAGCAAGAAGTAACGTGGACATTTTGCTGCATCTTCATTGTATGCCCCTCGGGCTCACGTTGGCTTGGAATGTTGTAAGTTTCCAGTGAACAGAAACAGTCCTTCATCCGTCACACCTCTCTTGAGCTCCCCCGAATCTCCTTTATATCCATCACCGTGTACCTGACCCCCCTCACCCGCTTCCCTGCCTCCCAGTCCCTTCCCGACCTGGGGCCCATCTGGCTATTTCATGTGTCTGAGTTTGTTTCTGCTTTATTCTGACTGTTGGTGTTGTCCCTTCCGTCTTCCACCCATGAATGAAATCAAACTATATTTGTGTTTCTCCATCTGACTTACTCCACTTAGCAGCATAGCACCCTCTAAGTTCATTCCTGTTGTGACAAATGGTAAAATTTCATCTTATTTTATTTTATTTTTTGCTTCTTGGGTCATACCCGGCGATGCACAGGGGTTACTCCTGGCTCTGCACTCAGGAATTACTCCTGGCAATGCTCAGGGGACCATATGGGATGCTGGGAATCGAACCCGGGTCGGCCGCGTGCAAGGTAAACACCCTACCCCCTGTGCTATCGTTCCAGCCCCCAAATTTTATCTTTTTAACAGCCAAGTAGTACTCCATTATTTATATCTCTATCGCTAAGTTTCTCTCTCTCTCTCTCTCTCTCTCTCTCTTTCATTCTTCCTTTCAAGGCTTCTTCAGCCATTCATCTGTTAGACAGCAGGATGCTTCCTTATCTTGGCTCTTGTGAATCATGTCCAGTGACCATCGGGCTGCCTGTGGCTTTTCCTACGAGAGGGAGGCCACTTGTTGGAGCCCATCTTAGTAGTGGAGACATTTTGCTAAGTGGATGATACCTTCTATGCCAATATCTTAGGTTTAAAACCTGAAAGCAAGGTCGCTCAGATAGTAAGTGTGAAAGTTAAGGCATTTGACTTGCATGCTATTGACCCTGGTTCAATACCTGGCAACATGTATGATCTGAGCACTGCAGGGGGTAGCCTCTTGAGAACTGCCAGGTGTGGCCCCAAACTGGAGAGAATCCAGACTTGAGCCTCAGAGCAGGCGGGCTCTGGGGGTAGGGAAGGAGGGCTGTATCGCTCTAACACACCTACCAGGTGGGCAGGTCGGGGCCCGGGGTCTGACAATATGAAGAAGGTAATGATGGCTACCGGTGCAGGTGAGGAAACATGCTGTGGTCTGCCCTTGGGGCCCACGTGTCCCCCGGGAGTGCAGCTGCGGGGGCCTTGGAGCCTGCCTCTTATCTGGGCTCTGGCTGCTGCCCTCACATCCTGACTGACCTTCCAAAGCCACGTGACAACACCCCCCGGGGGACAGTGATGTAGCTCTCTGGCCTGTCATGGCTGATTCTCGAGGAAGCAAAGGCAACCAGCACTATTCAGGCTGGAATCCTGCCCTTGCCAACCAAGAGTTGTGTGACCATGGGCAGGTTACTCGACATCTCTGGGCCTTAGGCTCCTCAGGTCCTAACCAGACTACTACCTGGAGGGCAGGGTTACAGTCCTGGGTCAGGGGTACCTTGGAGGGCAAAAGCAGGTAAAAGTCTCCCTGTGGAAGCATCCCAGCTCGAAAGGCAGGTGAGGGTCCAGGGTGCTAGGGCCTGGGAGACAGCTGTGCTGAGGCCAGTACCTAGTCACAGAGCCGGCAGCTGTAGCCTGGGGAGACCAGGGAGGCTGAGAGGGGGAGGCACCTTGAAAGGCTCCAGTTCCCTTAGCCCACCATCTCCAGGAGGCCAGTGCTCAGCCTGTGAGCAGGGGAGGCTCATAAGGGGGAGGGATATTTTACTTGGTATGCCCTAAAGCCTGGAGGTCTTCCTGCTGGAGGGGGTGCTCAGAAACCCTCACCAGAACCAAGCCCTGGATTTCATGTGTCACACAGAGAGAAACTGAGTCCAGAGAAGGAAAGAGATGTGGCCAGGATACTGTAGCAGGTAGGACACGGTGCTGAAGCCGGGTCTTAGCCCTTGGGCTC